CTTTGAATTGACTAACATTCTTTGGGTAAAAAGCAGCTGAAAAAGAAGAGAAGGGAAGGGAAGAAAAGGGAAGAGAAGAGAAGAGATGAGACGAGACCTCTATAGAATTGTAACAGTTACGCTTAGTCTGGTAGTTAGAAACATTTTCCAACTCTCCCTTCCAATGTGAGACCCGAATAAGAGATCAGCATGGAATATGTTAGGAGATGTCACCTTCCTGGGAAGAAGAAAAATAAAATCAGGAAGTGCTGGAATCTCTTTCCATCTCAAAATCTTCCCCTTAATAAGGGTTCAGAAATGAGGATTCATAAATAAGCAATGAAAAAGGGCCCTCTTTCATCTACTTAAGGTTTTGCCCCCTTTTGTTACTCACTGTACATCCCTATTTAAACTTTTTTGGAGCTCCACTTCTCCTCAAAATCAGGTATGTGTTATTATTATTATCATAATTTTAAGTGACGAGAAATCTACAGCTCATCAAGCATTAGCGACTTGCTCAAAATCATATCGTTGGCATGTGATGAATTGGCCCTAGGTCCTGTGCAAGTTATTGGTTTAAACAGCAGTGCTTTACTGCCACCTTGTGGGCAAATCGGGTTGGTTACAAGTCCTATAAGAGTATTATGGTTGAAGTCGGGCTTTAGAGAGTGCCTATGGCAGATGAAATAAAGTGTCTTATAAGACATACTAAAATAATGATCTTTTAAACAGGTCATATTTTAAGGATACTATAAGAGAGATAGGATTGTGGTTGGGGGAATAAAATGCAGGCTGAGGTAACAGTGAAGAAGAATATCAAAATAACCTATTAAAACTTGGTGAAGACTTGGATGAAATACATGTTCATGGGTTTAATTTATATTTAAGATAAAATAAAGAATATATATATTATAATATAAACATTATAATATATATAAATTATATACTGAAATTGATTTTGAGTGAGAAAGGACTCGGAGTAGTTACATTGACTTTCATTAAATAAAAATGTGGAGGAGCACATTTAGAAAGAAAATAATAGGACTTACATTTGATAGATTGATTTTAGAGATTCTGTGAGCCAATGAAATTAAAGTATCTAGTATCTGATACTATAAGATGGGTACAGTCTTATGCTGAGGATCTGTGAGTTATAAGTATACAGGCAACAGAGTAGTTACAGATATGAGTGGGATCATCAAACAGAGGAAGTATGCTGGGGAAAGAGAAGATAGCAATGACAAAAACCTGGGACTCGTCAATAATTAGAGGATAAAAATAAGGGGAATTAGACAGAGGGATTTCAAAATTCAAAATGCCATAGAGAGAGGGGGAGAAGGAGAGGGCAAGGGATGGGGGGAGAAAGAGAAAGAAAGGGAGAGAGAGAGAGAGAGAGAGAGGAGAGAGAGA